CTACAAGTCATTCTTACTTGCTTTAGTACACATGGCCACACATTTATCATTGCTCATTGGGCTTGATTCCATTTTCTTTGGGCAGAAAGGACTTTCGTTAAAGCTTGCAGGGTTAGAGCTAAAATTAGCAGGTCTTGACTTCATACATCATAAAACAACAAAGTGAAATGCTTTTTGCATGACTCATGCTGTCTTCTGTTCTCTTCCTTAGCTTGGCATCAGCGTCTGGATCCCAGAACATAAGAAGACTTCTCCATGTTAATGAGACTCCTGTGTTTGTCCACCTCCTTCCGAATAAGGAAGAAGAAAAGGAGACACATTCTTCCAAGGCTGATGGATCAGAGACTCACACTAAGTAGTGTCAATCCTAATTTGTGAGAATATCTTTGGAAATGTGTGGGCAGCATGTAGGAATTCTCAGTAGTCTTGACAAGACACACATTTCAGAGATGTACGGTATAGACCAGAGATTAGAAATGCTATTTTTTTGGATTATAGCTCCAATATTCACCCAACCAGCATATCTGGCTGGAGGATTCTGAGGGTTGTAGTCCAAAAAGGTAATGTTTTCAACCTCAAGCATGGACACACAAGTCAAATAAACTACGGTACAGGGACTGGCTTTGAGGAGCCTTTGAACAGACACCCACTTGAATTTTTTTTAAAAGTACAGCTCTGGAAGAAAAATACATATATTTTTTTGTAATGCAGTGTTATGTTGCCTCTTAAACTTGACACAGGGTAGAGCCTCAGCATTTTGGAATCTGGCCCCACATAATTTCTTGCTTTCCTCCAGTGGTTCCCAACCTTGGGTCTCCAGATGTTCTTGGACTACAACTCCCAGAAACTTTCACAATTAGCTGTGCTGGCCAGGATTTCTGGGAGTTGCAGTCTAAGAACATCTGGAGACCCAAAGATGGGTGATAATCGTACTACACAAAAAGTGTAGCATATTATCTTAAATATTTAAAAAATATTGTTAAAACATTTGGCTGCAAAAATAGCAAATGGTGAGGCCCACTAGTGCAGTGATACTCCAGACTTCGAGGGACTGGGACTTGGGCCATCCAAATTGATCCCTGTTGAACCATTAAGTTGGGTGACCTTAGGCCAGTTACTCTCTCTCAGCCTGACCTTCCTCGTAGGCATATTGCAGGGTACAATGGGAAGTAGAAAGACATATATTTGAGCTCATTGCTAGGAAAGCAAGATATTCTTCTCTTCCTCTCATAGTCAAAATTAACATTTTACAAAGTTCTGTGAAGTGTGACAAAGACCAGAGGAGAAGGGAAGGGAGAATGTTGTGTGAGGCAGTGTTAACAGTACATTAAGATGCTTCAAGGAAGAGACCTGGGGAAAACTTTAAGGAATATAGCTTGAAAGAAATGCTTCTAGGACTAGAGTTCTACTCCAATACTGAAGTGATTTGGGACTGGGTGGGGCAGTTGTCCTGATTCTGTCATGACATATATTGCCAGAGGGTCCGGAAAGGACCCGCCTTCCTGAGAATAAACTGCTGATGCCCTGAGAATGACCTGCCTTTGGCCTTTGCTTATCAAGAATTGCCAAACAGAATAGATAACATTGTTCTGTCCTTTCCTTTAATATTATTTTGCAAGCTTTTCCTAAAGGTTTCCATTTATGTTATGTATATCTTACTTTTTGTGTAAAATGCACACACTTTCTGATATATTTTTGTATGCATGTTCCTCATTGTCTGAAACACATCTGTGCATGTTTTCCAAATGTATGCATTTTACTAGCACATTTTTTTTGAACATACATGTTTTTTCTTTAACAAAATGTATCAGAAGCTTTGCAAATGTATAGATTTTCATTGCAATTAACTCTACCATGCTGATGCCACAGGCTCCAGTTTCTGCAAAAGCATTAGTATCACTTGTCTTTCACGGAAATGTATCTGCCTGTAACATATTGCAAAATTTTTGCAAAGTATTATCATAGGAATTAACAGGGCCATGGTGGTGCTGTGGGTTAAACCGCAGAAGCCTGTGTGCTGCAAGGTCAGAAGACCTGCAGTTGTAAGATCAAATCCACGCATCGGAGTGAGTTCCCGTCGCTTGTCCCAGCTCCTGCCAACCTAGCAGTGCGAACGCATGCAAAATGCGAGTAGATAAATAGGGTACCACCTTGATGGGAAGGTAACGGCATTCCGTGTCTAGTCTTGCTGGCCATGTGACCACAGAAACTGTCTTAGGACAGAACGCTGGCTCTGCGGCTTGGAAACGGGGATGAGCACCACCCCCTAGAGTTGGACACAACTGGTCTAAATGTCAAGGGGAATCTTTACCTTTCATAGGAATTAGGCCCTAAAAACTCATATGAATAACTTAAAAGCTCTCATCCAGAAAACTTACTCTTGAGCTGTAACACAACACTGATAAATAACAGCACACATACTACATCTGGCTGTGTACCAGGACAAGAAATATACCATATGAGTACAGTATGTGCTGTGGATAAACTGACATGTCAAATAGGTGCCTGACATTCAGTCCATGAGGACATAGGGACACCATCATCCTCTGCAATGAACTCTGCCTTCTCAATATTCAAAACAACCTCAGTCATCATGATGGTGTGACAGTTTCACCCTCTCCTGTTGTTTCCTTTCACTCTCCTCAGGTGGAAAGTTACCTCAGTTTCCTGCACCTATGGAGACTTTCTACAGAACATGGGAAAAACAACATTATGGATCATGTGGAAAGTCTCCATGGATAGCAGAGGTTTTCTTCTGACAGTGCACCCTCATCTTTACATATTTAGGTTTCACCCTCACTGAATGCCTGAACAGAGTGACAGTATGCTCCAAAACTAACAAACATCTATGAAGATGCCTGGAAATTAATGGAAAATCCTTTATCTCAGATTCATTTTTAAGCCCTGCTGCAAATCTTCAGCAAGTTTGTTGATACAGCTTTTGGGGATTTTAGCACTGGTTTGTTGCACTTCCCACATTTATTGCTATTAATTGAAATATTTTTATACCACCTTTTTCCTTAAAAGGGACCAAAGGTGGCTGTAACTTAATGCTGATTTTCCCATGTGCTTTGGAAAGTCACTGTAGTCTCAAGACTATGTAATATACATTTTACAGGTGTAGAAGCAGATTCTTGCTTCTGGCCATTTTGGAAAATAGGTCCACAGACTTACTTCACTTGCCCATGAGGTCTGTTCATTTTTCACCTATTCCAAGTTTTTTTTCCATCTAAACAAACATGGCCACATTCCTGTGATGTTCTTGTGAAAGTTTATCACAGGGAGATAATGGAGGATGATCATTTCAGGTTTGATTGTTTATCAGTAACTTAATATAGTGCATGTAACTATATGTTAAGCCAGTCATTTGTATCATGAACCAGACAATGGTATAACAATTAGAACTTTGTAACTGATTAGATTACAAAGTGGTTACAAGCAAGGGTGTCTGCACTGATCCAGAGGGAATAAGCTGTCTTTCTCTTCTTTCCAGTTAGAAGACCAATGTATCATAAACAGACTTCCAGGACATTTACTGTTTTGGAACCTGAAATATAACATATGGAATCACCCAGTTAAGGTGTGTGATTAAACATGGATTTCTTAGATGGCTTTAGGTGCATGAATGACAATGATAACCCTGCCCTACTTAATAGGATTGTTGCAAGCATCACTGAGATAATGCATCGGAAGCATAGCGATCAGATGTAAAGGCCTGAGTATTATAATTGTGCAATATGTCTTTTTAAAAGGCATATTTATTAGCTGAAGTCCTATTGTTTTACTATCTGCTACATAAGGATGATGACATCAGTAACATTGTTTTTCCCCCCAGAAATTAAACATTTCTAACTTTTTTTCTCATAGCTCCCAAGTAATTGTTTTCCTCATTGGGAACCTGTAGAAGGTGCAGGATGGAAGTGGGAAGTCTTTAATTACTGGAAATCACCATCACCAGGATGACTTTACCATTGACACTGCTGCTAATGGCATCCTAAGCCTTACAAGGCAGAGAAGTTACAGCAACAGGATTTCAGCCATTACTGTATGTTATTGCTATGTGCTATGGGAGGAAGTGCTCACACACACCCTTCCCTGAATACAGCACAACCTAATCAGGCAGCAGGATAACAGGCTGGGCAAGGCCATGTCAGAATCTGTGGGATCATCAGAAAGTGAGAGCGGGACTGCCTTCCATGGAGATTCTGGCGACAAGAAGGGTTGACTGAAAGAGAAGTCCAGGAGAGCAGGAGAACCTGGGAGGCTTGTAGGATGTGTAGAACTCCAACATGGATCAGGATCAGATGTCCTTGGGGCCCTCTACGTGGACCCATATGGGCACATCTAAGGGGTTCTGTTGAGCAGGTTGAAGCGGATGAATTTGTGGGGCCGAGGGCAGATTTTCCCCATTTCCTTCCCCCAAAATGGCCCCATCTCCAGCTTTTAAGGCAGGGTAGCCAAGTTCTAGGTCCCATATTTCCATTTTGATGGAAAGGAGCTATAATCGTTTCCTTGTCACCGTTGTCTTCAAATAAAGAGCAGCAGCAACACATTTTAAAAAGCCATTTCCAGTTGGATGCAAAATACCCAGAATTCTCCTGGAACAATTTCCCCATTTTTATGGAGGCAAAACCAGCCAGGGTACAAATGTAGAACTCCCCTACCCAGTTCTGAAAGAAGAAAAATAACAGATGTCAAGGAAGAGCAAGGTGTTATTATGTCTCGTTATCTCTTGGAGGTTTCCAAGTTAAAAAAGAATGGGCATCCTGGAAAAGGGCATGCATGATTTGTAGGCATGCAATTTTTCTTTTTGTTTTTGCAGGTGTCAGTTTAATCTTAACATATTCCTAAAATATCTGCAATAATCGGAAGATTTACTAGCATTCCAAAGACTGTGTCCAAAGATAATGAGGAACAAATCATTAGCCAATGTATAAATGACTGTTTAAACTTTTTCTGCTCAACTAGAAAAAATACTGTTAATAAATGCAAATGCAAGAGAAATGGCTGACCATTTTTATTTGTCAACTGCTGGGATACTTTCTTCTATTTTCCAGGGTACAACCTTAGCTGTTTCACAGATGATATAGATTGAACTGGAACTTAACACAAGATGTGGCGGATGCAATGTACAGGGGGGCAGTAACATCCTCTTTAGCTTGGACAGAAAACCTAACTTCCATTACTTGCTACCTTTTGTGCTCAAGCGATTTTCATTAGCATTGGTTTAGGCTGCCTCCTTGTGGCCAACATAATCTGCAACTGGTATTACCCTATTACACCCAGGGAGTATGCTACAGTACTTTGCATTTCATGTTTCCTTTTCCCAAGTAGAATCCACAAATTAGTTACTACAAATAAAATGATGAAAGATACATGTAGCCATTTTAGAAAATGCCCCTTAATCTGCAATATCCACCAAGAACACAGAGTGAATTACAAAGGGTAGGTATGGAAAAATGACACTTTCCCTCCCCCACCCCAATATTTATGACATGATAGAAGAAGACTGCTTCGTGAATTGATAGCCAGCTGGCAGATTTGTTTTCAATGGGAAGGACCGTTCTTCAGTTCTCTTAGTCAACAGTTCTGTGATTACTTATATTATCACATTAGGGGTTCATTTCACAGCAAGCTAGATTCAAATTTGAATCCTACTCAACAGAAGATCATGAATGCCATTCTAACATCAAACTGGCTATTTCAGGTTATACTTCCAAGTCATCTCATGGGCAGACTGGATTCCCCATCGACAAAAGTGGAACAATTCATGAAATGAGGTACATTTCACATTACAGACTATCCCCATCCTACTGCCACCCATTTCTTTTCCCCCATTAGATACAGGACTGGTCTAAGAAAGCAAAAGCAAAACATTTCCGTTTTGTCCAATTATACCTGTTACACTGCAGTGCTGGGATAATGTGTTCTAAATGAGTGTGACCATGACACTTAAAAACATACCTGCTCTGTTTTTGAATTTGCAGCAGTTGTATTTACTGTTTGCTCTCCCCCAATTCCTTATCCTAATTTTCCTGAAACCTGGTGCATTACTACCCTCAGTCAACCATTACAAGGTGATGTACTTTGTACAAACTTATACTTTTTTTGAGGGTAGTGTTCGGAGCATGTAAGATTCTCAAGGTATTTGTATGTGAAGCTGCTGGGCCAATATCAGCATATATTTCATTGTATGAGCACTTTCTTCCATCTCCATTTTGGTTTCCAGCAATTGATTCAGTTTTGTGTGTCCCACAGGCTCCCATAAGCCCATTCACAGTTTGGTGTTTTCTTTCAAGTATCAGTAACTGTACATTTGTTGTTGCTGCTGCTGCTGTTGTTAAAGTATCAGTTAGTAACTGTACATTTGTTGTTGTTGCTGTTGTTGTTGCTGCTGTTCAGTCTGAACCTGTTGCTGCCCTGTTTGTTGTTGGGCTGGCTGGGCCCTGCTGTTCAGTCTGAACCTGTTGTTGCCCTGTTTGTTGTTGGGCTGGCTGGGCCTGAGTCTGGAGCACATCACTTTGAGGCACTGCCCTCCAGGTTAAGGGATGCTGTTCTGTTATCTGGCTCCCTAATGGAGCAATGGAGTTCACCAGAGTTGTCAGGTTGATAAAATGGGCGACTGACTGCGGGTTTGTTGGCTCAGGCTGCGGCTGTATTTGGATATCGTTTTGGCGGTTCCCGTGTAACATGGCGGAACCTGTGACTGCATCAAACGTCACTGTGAGAATGGAATTGTCTAGCTGTAACTGGCGTTCAGGAGTGGCGAGGTGGCCAACAGCCACAGGCTGCAGATTTGTAAACTGCGTTCCAGCTGACGTTGTGATGGGAGTAACACTAATATTGGTTAGACCAACAGAACTGGAAGGGGCTGTGACACTGGGGTCCCCAAGGGTCACCACCACCTGAGGAAGAAATAAAAGAGAGAGAGAGAAAAAAAGAAGTAATATTTGCATGTACATGGTTGTAATTATCAAAGCAACCATATTTGCATGTACTGTACATGGTTGTAATTATCAAAGCAACCACTGGAGAGGGAATGGGCAACTTGTGGTCCTTCAGACATGGTTGGACTACAATTCCCATCGGCCCTTATGGTTAGCTATGCCAGCTGGCACAGATTTGTGTTGCAGTGTGACATCATCTGGATGGCAAAAAATAAAATAAAATAAATGCCCACGCTGTGTCAGTACCAGAAATACATGTTGGGAATGATCATTAACTTTGTTATCTTTGTTTTTACATGTGGGAGCTAGTGTATTAAATAGAAGGTGGAAATTAAAAATCTATAATCCAACAGTGTCACACCTGAGGCTGTGATTAACACAAACATAGATCTTCCTTTTGACATTTGTAAAATATACACTGTCATTTTGCAGAGTTAAAAACATCTGTTGATGAAGCCATGCCCTTCACTGATTACCTCACACACTGGGGTGAATTTCCAAGGGAGCAGCTCACCTTTATTGATGATGCAGGTAAGGCACGTCATTAAGAAACCAAAGCCCCATTCTTACTGGGGTGAATTTCCAAGGGAGCAGCTCACTTTTATCAATGATGCAGGTGAGGAACGCCATTAAGAAACCAAAGTCCCATTCTTACTGATTAGAAATGGTCTAGAGACTGCTGAGACATGTCTGCTGTGTCCAATCTGGCCATGATTTTTCACTTTGGCTCCCTTTCTCATTTCCAAAATTATTTTGGAATGTTATGTTTTTTCTAATACAGAGTCATTTGGATTCTATTTAGTCACAATAAAATTATATCCACTACAGAAATCTCAGACTCATTTGCTGCATAGGCAAGATAGTGACATTATCAACCTGAAATAACTAGTCAGTCTCTAAACAATTTTTAGAAACAAAACAAATGCTTTTCTAAAACTCTGAATTCATGCCAGGGTCGCAGGATTAAATTGTAGGCAGAACTTGACAAATGAAATCCAAATAAATCTTTGAGTAAGGGGAACACAGCTTTTCCAAGTCCAATCACTTTCAGATGTGTTAGACTACAAATCACATCATCTCTAGACCACATAGTCAATTGAAAAAGTAATGTAACACTTCTGAAGGGCACCAGGTTGAAGAAAAGCTGCTTTAGAAGTACTTTTGAGTCTTATCCTCATATTGAAAAACCTAACCAAGGAGCATGGAGGGCTCCTTGATCTCTCAGATGTGATGATTCCTGTCAAATAACACAAATGGCTGAATTTTGAGATGTTGATGAATGGAAACAAAATCTGCCCCTGCCCCCACAACAGTACTAGAGTCATGATTGGATGCATCAAAGAGGAGGTTTGCTTCTTCCTCCCTTAAATGCAGCCAGCTACTTGCTCCCATGGAAATGAATTCAGCCTCTGATAGATTTCTTGCATAACAGAAGATTAGAGTGTTTCTAAAATACTACAGAAATTAAAGGGCTCTCTTTTCCTCTCCCGAATACTTCATGTATTCCAATGGCAACTTTTCTCAAATTTTTACATGAACATCATCAAACAAATCCTTCTCACTAATGAAAATATATTTTAATAGTCCATAGTGTTTACAGCCCTTCCACAGTTACCTCCCTCCTCGTTTCTTTTGCAACTTTACCTGCTGAATGCTTTGCACAGCTGAATTGGTCTCATCTCCCACATTCCCTGTGAACTCCACATCTTTTTCTGCATATTCACTGAAGGCAGACTCCTCAGGCACTTGGGTTTCCTCCTCTTCACCAGACTTATGCTTCCGTTTATGGCCTCGCTTATGAGACTTCACATGCTTACCTTCTGGTAGCTCTCCCTGCTCCAGGGCTAGGTCTGGCTGCATGGACAGAGTTTTCAACAAAACACAGTTGTCAGTGATCTCCATCAACATTCGCTTTTCTTTGACAACAGAACTTCAAGGAGAACTTTTGCTGTGAATTTGCTGGCTTATTTTTTTTTTATCAGTTAAGTTTGTTTCTAGCTGTTTAGTACTTAATCAAAATAATTTTTTACTGTGTTGCCAGTGTTAAATTAGCACACCAAAGCCAGGAAGAAACTCTACTAATTCTAGTTACTGATCTTGTGAATACAGAGTTTATCTTATATATGTGTGAGCTTACATGGTAATATTGCAGACATTTCTTCTCATGGACTTCTCTCCCTACTATTTCTATTTTTCCCCCTGACCCATCATTACTGATATACAGGCACTCCTCATTTAACAAATTAGTTCCGTTCTTACAACCAGGTCATTAAGCGAACTGGCCAATAAGCAAGGAGCAATAATATTGTATTAAGAAGGAGTAAATCATGTACCATTGAGAAGGGGTGTGGCGAAGACACAAGTACTAACCAGGCCCGACCCTGCTTAGCTTCCAAGATTAGATGAGATCTGGCGTTTTCAGGGTGATATGGCCATAGGTGAAGACACAAGCAAGGATTTACGAGGGTTGTAAAAGGTTGCAAAGGTTGGGTAGGTTGTTAAGTAAGGAGCACCTGTATAACTGCCAACAGAGGATAGCACTTCAACAATCTGGTAATGTGGGTTCCAGTCCAAAGAATCTTATGACATAAGGGATCTTTTTTTCTTTTAGTACTACAACATTTTGGGTGGCTTTCTTGCAGATGAATTCCATATCAATTCCATGAAGTGGTGTGAGTGCATTCTAAGCCTCTGGGAATCATGAATGTCATGCACAGCATGTGTAAAAGCCCCCTCCATTTAAAATCATTTGGCTGAATATATGATTTATAACGCACTTTTACTATTACTGAAAATAGCTATTGAACAGACAAATGGTAAACCACAAACAGTCGCCTTGTTCAGCATAAAAATGACAACAATGTTTTGCTATTGCACTTCCAAGAGTTTATCTCAGTGGCAGAACTGGAAGAAGCCTAATGACAAGTATAGTCACTCCACAGTCAGGCGTACTTTATTGCCTGCATGTGATACATTGCACTATTCAAAGTATATCACAGAAATATGAGGTCAAAAATGTCACATTTGGCTTCATCTCCACATTACCTGCACAATTCCTATAGAAGAAGCATCAACAGTGGTGGTCTCGGAGAGCTGCTCCAAGTCATCAATCCTAACTGAAAGCACCTGGAAATAAATACCTACATTAATGAGAAAGCTACCTAGAGGTGCTATAATGAATAGCCCTGCAGGGTTGTTATAGACCACTGGTTCTTAACCTTGGGTTACTCAGGAGTTTTGGACTGCAACTCCCAGAAGCCTTCACCACCAGCTGTCCTGACTAGAGTTTCTGGGAGTTGCAGTTCAAAAGCATCCAAGTAACAAAGGTTAAGAACCACTGTTATAGACTAACCTCTCTGCCTAACATGCAACATAAGAATAAACCACAATGAATAACATGACAGCGCTGCTGCATTGCTCTGATTTCAGTTCGCTGTCCTAAGGGGGGCAATCTTGCTTGATATCAATCACTACAGGGTTTGCTGTAAAACTCTTGCCTGCAGTACTCAATGTGACCTAAGCTCCAGTGTCGTCACAACACTCTCTTCCAACGTATCACCAAAAATCTCAACGTATAAAGCCCTAAACAGTGGGGGACCCGGATACTTGAGGGGATGCCTCTCCCTACATATAGCCGCCCAATCCCTCAGATCTGCTGGGAATGTGGGGGGTTCCTCTGTTTCCTGGCATGGAGACTGATCCACTATAGAGACATGAGGGAGGAGGGCTGCAGCACATCATTTATGGAATGCTCTCCCCTTAGATACATGACTAGCACAAACATCAACTTTATTTCAGCACCAAGTTAAAACATGATTATTCACCAAGGCCTTCAAGGATGGTGGGTCATGGCTTAAACAGGTTGTGGACATTTCTTTTTTGCTGTTGGTTTAAATATATCATTCACTTTTTAATATTTTAAATGCTTCTAAATGTATTAAAATTGTGAACTGTTTTGTGTTGTTTTTATTACTGTACTCTGCTCCGAGACATTAAGTTGTAGGGTTGAATATAAACATTTTAAATAAAATAAAAATAAAATATTAGACTTGCCCCCCACACTTACCTCTGGGTGTTTTCGTCTCATATGACGACTCATCGAAGCCCTGGTAGAAACCTTTGTTCCACAGAGCTGACAACTCTGGGCTTCTACTTTATCATGAGTCAGCTGAATGTGCTTCTGCAGCATGTAATCCGTCACATACTTTTTATCACACACTGAGCACGTCCACTGTTTCCCTACTAGCAGGGATTAAAAGAACATATATAGTATTAGCTTTTAAGTATGCTGTCTTAATATTAATATTTTGGGTGTTTCAACTGCAGCAATTTCTTTAAAAGAAAATATATGGTGTAGGATATGGAGGAATTGAGTTGTATCTGCACAGCTAGAAAATACTTTTTCCACTTACTAAAGTGGACAGGAATAAAGTCAGTGATGAGGAAGATTAATTCTGTGGAAACATGACCCTTGGGTACCTGGTGACAACCATCAGATTGACTCTGGCACCTGAGATCAGCAGGATGACAGGATTAGGGCTGTCACATTATCTCAGGCTAGTCGTGTAGCGTTTGCGTATTCTAACAGACAGGAGAGTACTTTAGCTCAGGATCCTCTCAAATGGTTGAATTTTCAGTTGGCATGAAAGAGATTTTGGCTTCTTGCCAGACAGATAAAACTGCAAAGAGTCTTGTGAAAACATCAGGACTACTACAGAAAGTTCATTCTAGTTTATTTGGGCATAAGCCAGAAGATGGCCTACTGGTAAATATCAACATTCTTCTGTGGTCCTGCCAGCTGCTGTTTCTGAACAAAGAAGCCATGGGGCACAGCGGTGAGGACAGTGAAAGACCTCTGTTCTCTAACAGGAGACACTGAAAGCCATGTTTAAGATTCTTGAGGCAGAAACCACAACATATTGACTAGACATCTATCACTGCTTTGTCCCCCACCTTCCACTGTTTCTCCTTCATGAATAATATTGCTGAGACAGAACCCACAGAAGGCAACTAAAACAGCAGAAGACCTCTGGAGTGAGAAAGAAAGAAGTGATGCCAGGGAATAAAAGACTTCCTGAAACATTTCTAGGAAAGCAGTAAGATCAATGGGAAATGACATGCACAAAAATATTCAAAGGCAATTTTAATGGGAAACTTCTGCGTCAAAGAGCTGAAATAAATATATTCAATTGTACTGAAAGTTCTGCACTGATATTTTAAGTACCAATTAGCTTACCAGTATGAGGATGTTTATATTGGTTGTTGTGGGTTTTTCAGGCTAACAACCTAACATTGTTGCCAGTATCTGTGGCCGGCGAAATGTTAGGAAGAACAACCTTCAGAACACGGCCAAAGAGCCCGAAAAACCCACAACAACCATTAGATCCCGGCCGTGAAAGCCTTTGCAAATATATTGATGTTTGTATTATTGTGAGATGTCTGATTGATAGCTTATTTAATATATTTCAAGAAATTTACCCATCTCAGATTAACCATCTATGCAACACAAAGATGTGTGTATGTGTATCTATCTGTCTGTCTGTCTGTCCGCCTGCCCGTCCATATCCAGAACTGGGCATTGTGTGTGTGGCTAGGAATGTTATGCGGTTGCACAATCTGGAATCTTGACTTCTATTTTTGAAAAACATGTCTGGAGGATTAAAGACGTACAGTTCCATTCATGCATTTACCTGTATGAATAAGTTTATGGGTCTCCATTGTGTTCCTCTCACTAAAGGTCTTCCCGCAGAGCTCACACATGAAATCTTTGATTCCTGCTAATTAGATACAATATTAAGTACAAAAATGATAAAATCACCTGGGGGAAAAAGATCTTTCCCTAACCTACCCCTCAGAAAACAATTGTGCCATGGTTTGTAAATGGCAACTCGAAGGCAATTTCAGCACTGCTTGACTCTGGCAATGCATCTCGCCATCCTTTTGCAAGTTTCTGTCTTGTTCCCCCACAAATCTACTGGGAGATATTATTTGGGGATGTTGGATAAATTCCCATCAGTATGCCCCTGGCACCTGGCTTTCTTTCTCTCTTTTCATTGCATTCAGATGTGCCAGTAGAAGTGCTGAACTAGCACACAAACCAGTAATAAGCTAGAGGAGGGACTACAGGCTCAGCCCTGACACAACAGAGGTTCTGCAAGGAGGTTCGCTCAAAGGAATGTTGTTCAGCTTATTCTCAGTGGTACTGCATGTATGCAGCTTGGATCAGCTGCAGCCTCTCCTGGTCAAAGATAGCCTGGCCATAGTTATTAATGAGCTGGTGCACAACTAACTACTATAAGGCACTGAACATGCTGTTGCCTTTAAAAATTATTCAGAAAATTATTTCAGTTGAACATACAGCTACCTGACTGCTGACTGAGAATGGTGGATGGTGGCATATCTTGCCAACACTGAAAGAACTGGCAATCTGTTTCTGAGCACAATCCAGTGTGCCAGTGCTTAACATTAAAGCCCAGTGCAGCCTACAAGCTCAATGACCTAGATCAGTGGTTCTTAATCTTTGTTACTCAGGTGTTTTTGAACTGCAACTCCCAGAAACCCCAGCCAGCACAGCTGATGGTGAAGGCTTCTGGGAGTTGCAGTCCAAAACTCCTGAGTAACCCAAGGTTAAGAACCACTGACCTAGATGAATGCCTGCTCTGAATCCAATTTGTCTATGCCCTGAGGTACTGTTTGAAGGTTCCTCTCCAATTATACCCCTTACTTCTGAAGTAAGGAGGCTGGTGACCAGAGAGAGGGAGGGAGGGAGGGAGACAGGGGCTAATGATCAGCATTGGTGCCTCCTATAAGCAGTTCCTTGTATTGGGAACTGGTGCCAAAATCTGTATCTATCTGTTGATCTACTGGAATTCTGTAACAGGGCTGAAGCTGACGCAGTACAACCATGCTGACTAAGAAAACATACCTATGTGAAGCAATAGTGCTTTAACCTTCTGCACAGTTTCCTTGGAAACAACTTTCGTTGCCAATTGTACTTGCACAAGGTAAGGCTGTAAGGAGGAACTATCTTGTCAATTCTTGAGAAATGGTGTCTCACTCTATCCAAGGGCTATGTGAGCTTCTGTCAGTGGTCCTTACCTGTGTGCCTTTTGTAATGCTTAAGCATGTTGACTTTCTGGGCAAACTTCCGATGGCATTCCATGCACTCATACTCCTTTATTCCTTTATGAAGCTTCATGTGATGACGCAACGCATGCTTTGTTTTCATGCCTGTAAAGAAGAAACTTTAGCCTATCTTATAAATTGCAAAGAAGTCCTTTCACCACCTTTTAATCAAGCCACACAAGAGGGAAAGGCGTCACATAAGAATTTGATCCAATGACCAACAGAGTAAAAAAAAGAATCAAGTATCTACTTGGTACAACCGGGTTTAAAGCACCTTTGAAATACAGTCTACAATCTACAGTCTAATAGTATCATGAGACCCACTAAGGAAGGCAGTAACAGTTCTCTGAATAGGTTTGAAACAAGAAACTGAAATCTGAGTTGGGATGTTCAGCAAGGAAATGATAAACTGGGGTGGGACTGGGTGGAGAATTTTGTTCACTTAGCCACTTTCTTTGAAAATGCAGCTCAGATCTGAGAAGCAATTCACAGCACTTAAGGCTGCTCAAGGGAGTTCAAGTGCAGCAGAAATCAGTCAGAGAGAAGCAAGGGAGCTAAAGACCGCCTGGCTCTAAACATACTCCTATGAGGCAGGAACATTCACTTTCACTGTCTAAAGCAAGCCAAACAGCCTATGTAGTGCACACAGGGATATAACAGACCAAACAACTATAGACAATGCAAGCAAAAAAAATCACAGTGTAGAGGCAAACGAGGAAAATGAGAGGGAGTAAAACCAGCAAGATCTTGCCCTTTCTTCCCCTGCCAAGGTGACGAGCCTTTATTAATATAGCTTTTAAAAATCCACAGAAGTGGATAGTTTAAACTTTAAACCATCCTGCATGTCAGGGTGGATGAGAGACAAATACTGTACATTTACACATTTCCAATTAGCTGCTTGACTGAAATACTTGAAAATTGGTTCCACCAAAATAAGTGGAACTTCTTTTGAAATAAATGTAAAGTGTTAAAGACTTTTAGGCTTTGTGTTTGTAACTTACTCTGTTTGTCTTTAGTTATTCACGTTTTTATCTCACCCTTCTTGGGCAGTAGACATTGCTCCCTTTCCCATCATGCTTAGAATAACCTTGTAAGGTAAGTTTGCTTGAGAGGCAATTACCATATTTTCCCATTTATAAGACGACCATTGTATAAGATGACTCCCCTTTTCTAAGCCCCAAATTTGAAAATCTGCACAATCGCACCCCTTTCGTCCTGAAGCCCTCTCATGGCTGCTTCAGGATCAAAGGGGTGTGAACGTGCTGCCGTTTGACGGCTGCTTTACTCTGTGGCTTCGCAAAAGGCAGGGAAAGCGGCTTCCTTCTGTGTATAAAATGACCCTCAATTTTTTGTCTATATAAGTAAAAAGTGTCATTTTATACACGGAAAAATATGGTACTTGCCCAAGGTCATCCACTGAGTTTCACAGGATGGTGCTTAACTCCGGTCTGGTATCTCTGGTCTTAATCTGAGGCTACAACCATAACACTCATGTTTTAAACTCTTCTCTGGGAGATGTTCATAGCCAAGCAATACAACAGGAAGAATCCATGGAATTCAAGTAAAGCAGAGATCAGTCACAGAGAAGCAAATCAATTGCCCCCGGCTCTGAACAGGCAGTTAGAATTTCTATAGCCAAAGTTGCCCATGGACCTTTGGTGTTAAGTGAATAACATATGACTCTCTATTCTGCTCACAGTTAACACTCCTGAAAGGAAGAGCAAGAACAGGACCTCATCACCAGCCAGGGTAGGTTTTACTATGAGGTTTGGTGAAAAGGTCGAGTTTGTCCCCTCCTGTCCTAAGGGGGCTGTGGCTTGCTTGGATAGCTGGCACTACAAGCAATTCTTCATAGGCAGCTGTTTCTTCAATTGCAGGGCTCCTTGGAAAGCACAGGTCGCCCCTCCCATAGTGCCTTGTCTTCCAGGACTTTTTAAAACCCAGTGTGATCACAGAAATAATTGTCCCTACACAGACCCTGCCTCTGGTGTGTGTCTCCTCCTCCACCTTCTTTCCTCTGGTGGTGGAAGGCACTGCTCTCACCATCATAACTGCAATTCTCAGTCATCATTCCTCATCGGTTTCTTCTCCTCTTCCTCCTCCTTATTCTAGGGAAGGCAGGAAAGACTGGCACTGTCTTCCCCTCCTGCCATAGTGCTGGAGGAGTGAATTGCTGTTCCTGTCACTTCTTCCTGTGATGGTGAAGAGAATTCCTCCTTTTCCATCTCATAAAAGATGGGGAGCCATAATGGTCAAGGGTGTGATGTTAAGGACAGCCTTTTGCTTTCTGCTTCAGACAGTATGATAGCTTGGGCATCCCTGTTACCAGCAGTGGACAGTTCAGGTACAGTTAAAGTGCCCCTGGTTTATCTTCACAAAAGACCACTTAAGAAATGAAACCACCAGTCCTGTTATACGACCTCTTCTGTTTATGCACAGAGAAGACTGCTATAGAACCAATTTCATATAAAATCCAACAGATGCAATGACCCCAGAACCCTGTTCAGTATGACAGAAATATAAAATGCCCAATTCTGATAATGCATAAATATGTTTTCTGATAATAAATGAAGATACAGCATTTTTGGAAAACAGCATTTTTCACAGTGCATTAGGAATATAAAGGGCTGCCCGTACCTTTACCACATTCTGCACACAGATATTCTCGGATATTGTCATGGACTCTCATATGTTCTTTTAACATGTCTTTTCTTGCAAATGATTTGCCACACTGTTCACAGGCATGACTTTTCACTCCTTTAAACGAACAGAAGCAGATTTGCATTCAGCTAAAAACGAATCTTGGCATTTCAGGCAAGCATAACCCCTCCCACTTTCAAAACAAAGGATTTTATGAGATGAGAACTTAGAAAGAAGCAGAAAAAAGCAGATGGAAATCTGTAGGACAGAGGAACATCTCAATAGTTGTCCAAAATGATAAATTATTGCAAGATACAAATAAAACTTTTAACCAGCATAATGGGATACAAGAAAGAAAGAAAGAGGGATGGAAAACTGTACCAACGTGAGTAACGAAAATGCTCTGGGATACAACTGGAGATACAACTCACTGTCTACAGAAGTGACAAATAAATGTTTCTAGAAAGACTAGATGTTCTTTGCAATTAGACGGTTTGACTAATGACGGGGCTAGAGAAAAGAGATCCAATTTTTTCTCACTTCTTCCAACCAAATGTGAGATACCTTTTCTTTTCTATGACTTGTTCTGCACATCTCAAGCTCTCCTCCTTGACATGGGGATAATAGACATGGAGAGGAGGCCAGCAGTGCATGAAGTTCCACCCAATGTACAGCACACAACATTCAGCAGAGTTCAGAGATGGCTGCGGACTGTGCCTGCTTTTATAACATCTATGGACCACAGCTAATGTAAGAGCATCTCCCTATCCTGAGCGACCCTTCTGTTCCATCCATCCACCCATCCCACGTGGGGGAAAAAGTCCTGTGCTGGGAAAAATCTTCAACACTGTATCGTTACCATCCTTTTCCCTGACAAGTCAAGTCGAATTACAACATTAAAAAGCAGAAGGACAAGAGGTTTGTTATTAAAGAGAAAAGTAATAAAGCAAGTCTACCTGTATGAATAAGTTTATGTCGTTCTAGATTTCCTATGCTGTTAAATATCCTTCCACAGATTTCACATGGATGGATATATCTAAAATAGGAAATAAAGATCAGCCAGTGATATGTTTTACCCCTGATCAACTTAAAATCTACAACCTTAGATGTGTACTTTTAGTAGAAAGAAAGAAAAAAATGAAACAGCTCCCAGAGAGAGTACCACTGTGCCTTGGAATCCGGTAGAAAACTAATCTACTGTACATCCCACTGGTCACAAGCCTACTGAGTCTGTGCAGCGTAAAGCCGTAAGTATGTAACGGATGTGTATCATTCTTCTGGCCACCTATCACACACTCAGACATTCCTCAGTCATACACTCAGCTGAATGCCCAGGAATGCAACAGGGGGCCACAACAATATGGAAATCACACCCACAACCAGCATTCCTAACTACTTACTATGCAAGGTGAGAAGCTAAGGCATTGCAGATTAACAACATCTGGGAAGTCTACATTTGGCCACCATGATTTAGAGATATTAAGAAAACGTTATCTCCTTTTAAAAACTTTCTCATAATAGGACTTTTCCTTATAGATTCCCATATATTATTAACACAGGAAATAAACTAGGGCAAAATCAAAGTGATGACTAAGTTAATATGTACAACTAGGTTATGACAGATGCTGTTTTCCTCTCTGTCTCACTTGCAGAGATATTATCTGAAGCACACAATTGTACTTCCACATTCTTGATACATCCATACAATGAAGAGAGAAACAGTTTTCGCCTTCTTTTGTTGCTCCTTGTCTTATGAATTGCCTTACACTTGAGATCTGCACCTTCCCCATAGGATCATAAGAAGGCAACAATGGCTGCAGCCTCTAAAGCACATGGGGGAAATCACCCTAGCCTATTTCTTGAAAGTAAAGAGACTTTTAATTAGTGATGGGTGACTTCTCTACTGATACTCCCAAATCCACTGGGGGCTGCATTAGCATTCCCAAGCCCACCAGAGGCTGGAATTCTCCCACTATTGCTGACTACTGGTATTTGAAGCAGTGGCAAAAGCTTTCACGCTCTCCCTTTAAAACAAGACAGGCATGAAGTCAGAGGCTTTTCTGAAGCAGAACTGTGCTTCTAGGAGGCTTCCGGAAGTGCAATTTGGTTTCAAAACCAAGTGCCTACTCCCCTCTGCCTTGTTTTAAAAGTGAATGTGAATTCCTTTTTGATGTCTGTGGCATTGCTAACATCCAGCGATGCTGCAGCAGTGGTGAGATTATGGAAAAATGGGTGGGTGCTAGACGTGCCTTTATGGCAAAGTCCTAGCTCAGTGCTAGAAATTCATCAGGCCTGCCTGTTTTGATTCCCTGAATTTCACTTTTGTTTCTAAGAAACTGCTGTCACTTTGAAAGCTTGTCTCCACGTTTTCTTTCTCAAACCCCACTGTACTCAGTGACATATGGCCAGCACACTGGAAACTGCATCCTTGACTTAGTTTTGTCAGAGATATCTGCTTACTTCTGCACGTTGGGGTCAGGCAGGTTCTCCCGATGGATAACCATGTGCGCATGGTATGTGGCCTTCAAGGCAAAGCGCCTGTTGCAGATGCTACAGCCATAGCCTTTCTCCTTGTGAACTTCCATGATATGTTTCAGGTACTCTTTTCCTCGCCCAAACGTCAACTAAGGAATGAAACAACCATAAATGCACCACACTGGGAGGATTGGGACACACTAGGATCAAGCAACTTTGGGTTAAATGGTGAACATAGTGAATAACCAGCAACAGCCTCCATCCTTGTTTGTGAAGGCCCTACTACGGCTCGATGGAGATAATGAATAGGCTCAGAATGTTAAAAGTGTTTTGGGAATAAAAGTGCAAACCAAACCAAGTAAGGGGAAGGCAAAAAAAGATGTCATTATTAACTTAGGAAACTATGTTTGTACTGTCTTTGTCGGGGGGGGGGGAGTCTGAAAACATGGAGAGAGAATTTGTTAAGGTTGAAATGCCAAAAAGGAGCCTTTGATAGGACTTTTGGAAGTGCCAGAATATTGTGTCCCTCTCCTTCCATGTTGTCTCCTCTTATCATTACTGTTTAGTTAAAAAAAGGCTAACTCCAGGTATTCTGGAGTTATTGCCCCCCCCCCAGCAATGGCTTCCATCTCTTCTTCAGATTTAACTCAATTTCATTGTTATTCATGTTATTTTTGTCAGTTCAGCCTGGAGGCCAGCAGTGTCCTGATCTCCTTCATTCTATTATCATTCAGAAAGATTATGCCCCCATAAACATATGGTGATTTACAGACTGCAACATCCTCCCTGTTTGTTTCACTGCGGAGAGCCTACCTTTCAGTCGGCCCTCTGTTCTACAGATACAGCTCTCCTATCTCTACCGGAATGAATGCTGGAGCCTGTGTGTGTACAAGATCTCTATTTGTCCACCATCCTCAGAGGCACAGTTGGTGGAGAGGCAAGAGAGGGCCTTTGCAGTGACATTCCCAAGCTGCAGAACTCCCCTCCCCCCCCAAAAAAGATGGTCCTCTCTGTTGTCCTGCCCGTAAGTGAACATTTTTTTATTCTATCAAGTATTTGGTTACTGCCTATGCTCTGAGGAAGAGGCCTCCAATAGCTGGATGCAGTAGATTTTATTGGCATGCTCCTAGATTCCT